TACAAATATGAATCTCTTGCAGTCAGTTGGCTAGGTAGCTGTCTTCCAAATTTCTTGGCATAGATGAGTGAGTGCCTCTAGCATGGCATCCATTTGTTGAAATATCTCAATGGGTATTGTGTCAATTCCTGGAGCCTTGTTCTTTGCCAGTTACTTCAGTGCAATAAATAAAGGAGTATATAAATTCATACTCCTGAATTTAGAGACCACTTAAAGAATAGATTTGATGCATTGCACACCAATGACTGAAAACCAGAGGAATTGTGGAATGACATCAAGAAATTCATCCATGAGGAAAGCAAAAGGTCATTAAAAAGACAAGGAACAAAAGACCAAAATGGATGTCAGAAGAGACTCTGAAACTTGCCCTTGAGCAGAGAGTAGCTAAAGCAAATGGAAGAGATGACCAGAAGAGCTGAAGAGAAGATTTCAAAGAACAGCTCAAGACAAAGTCAATTAAAATGTGCAAAGACCTAGAGTTAGAAAACCAAAAGAGAAGAACACACTCAGCATTTCTCAAGCTGAAAGAAGTAAAGAAAAAGTTCAAGCCTCCAGTTGCAATATTGAAAGATTCTGAGGACAAAATATTGAATGATGCAGGAAACATTGAAAGAAGATGGAAGGAATACACAGAGTCACCATACCAAAAAGAATTGGTTGATGTTCATCCATTTCAGGAGGTGGCATATGATCAAGAACCAATGGTATTGAAGGAGGAAGTCAAAGCTGCACTGAAGTAACTGGCAAAGAACAAGCCTCCAGGAATTGACACAATACCCATTGAGATATTTCAACAAATGGATGCCATGCTAGAGGCACTCACTCATCTATGCCAAGAAAGTTGGAAGACAGCTACCTAGCCAACTGACTGCAAGAGATTCATATTTGTACCCATTCCAAACAAAAGTAATCCCACAGAATGTGGAAATTATCAAACAATATCATTAATATCACATGTAAGTAAAATCTTGCTGAAGATAATTCAAAAACAGTTCCAGCAGTGTATTTACAGAGAACTTCCAGAAATGTAAGCTGGATTCAGAAAAGGATGTGGAACAACGGATATCATTGCTGATGTCGTATAGATCTTGGCTAAAAGCAAAGAATACCAGAAAGATGTTTACTTGTGTTTTATTGACTATGCCAAAGCATTCGATTGTGTGGATCATAACAAATTGTGGATAACATTGAAAAGAATGAGAATTCCAGAACACTTGATTGGGCTCATGAGGAACCGGTACATAGACAGGAGGTTGTTCAAACAGAATAAAGGGATACTGCGTAGTTAAAATCAGGAATGGAGTGCCTTTCAGCAATCTGTATGCTGAGCAAATAATCCGAGAAGCTTAATTATATGAAGAAGAATGTGACATCAGGATTGGAGGAAGAATCCTTAACAACCTG